CAGGCGAGAGACGCTGCTAAACACGGGGCCGGTGACGTGCCGCGTCTGTGCGTGCGCTGGCACCAGGGCCGAGAGTAACCCGGGGCTTGAAATAGGGCAGGCAACAGATTTATTTATACATCCATAGGAAGCGGTAAATTCTCCTTTTTGTTGCATTTTCTAATTCTCTGCATTTTTTTCCTGCCAAGGCCCAACGCTGTTTCCCAAAGCATTCAGCTGATGGGCAGCACCGGCCCCGTCTCGGCCAGAATCACATGAGCTGAGAGCAGCAGTTGGGAACAGCACACCAGACACAGCAGCAAATACTCCTGATTATTAGATAAATTGTTTATAACTTTAGCAAAGTTTTCCAGGGCAAATGGCTTCCTCAAGCAAATTTAATTTTGATGGGAAAAAAAATTGACAATTTCTTTCACCGTCACAAGGAAAATACTGTTTCAAATGCATTAAATGTTGAAATCATCTGACACCAGTTCAGTCCCTGCAGAAGTAAAATCTGACGTTAGAGGGGATCAGCTCTGCACAAAGGGGTGTCTTTTGCTGTCTTCATGCCAAAAATTCCCAACCATATTCACCAGTTAGAAACTCCAGAGAAATGTGGGGGCACGCATCCCCAGAGCCCTACCAGTAGGCAAGCACAGTGGGCTAAACTGGGCACCCTCCATCCCACCTCTCTGGAGCCTCCGGCTCCCTTTTAGGCGCTCTCCATGCCAGTGCTCATGGAGAAGCCACCTCTCCGGTGCGCAGGCTGGCACAGTCTTTGAGTAATCGCTCAGCATTTTGCCCAATTCGAACCCTGCCTTGTCAACACAAGGACGGACCTTTTGTGAGAGCTGGGGACACTGCCAGAGGTGCCTGCAGGCTCCATTGCACTAGTTGGAAGGGCTGAAGGAAAGAAGGTGGCCACAGACGGTCCTAGAAAACTGGATTCTACCTCTGTAGCCAAAGAATAATGAGGTGGTGCCTTTGCAAATGGTTTTAATTTTCTATTATATTTTGTTTAATATTTAATTTCTATTATATTTTATTTTTAATGCAATATTCCTCATTACCTAGGGTCTGGGCTGGCATGCACCAGCAGCTGGAGACCCGAAGTATTCGCTCCCCAGTACCACATAACGCTAAGGACTTGCAAAGAAGACACAAAAAAAAAAAAATCACTTCTCCCCAAGCAATTTTTGACCTTAGCATCTCTGCTATCCATAGAAGTGAGAAAGGAGCAGCAGCTCATCTACCAGCTGACCATTCAGCTTTGCTGCTGCACTGCTTTTCTTTTAATTGACTTGTGTACTCGAAGCGTCATACGCATCTATGCACATACATACACAGAGCCCGGTAAACGCAACTTGAACAGACCTCGCTCCCTAAGGACAGGCAGGCCGGGGGAAAGGGGATAAAAGTACAAGCAAATGCTATTCTGAGCTCCTCTCCCTTCCCGTCCGTGCTCCTTCAGCAACGTACAGCTTCAAGGAGAGGGGACACTGATTCTCAGAGCACTCTTCCTCCAGTCACCCAACATCTCGAGTGGATGCAGAGGCACAGAGAGTCCCCAGAGGCCGTTACCCTCAGCCGAATCCCCACGACGGCTGCTGGCACTCGGCACCGATGGCAACGGGGTCACAAGGCGCAAGAGCACGGAGAACTGGGCCCCGTGTGTGCGTGGGGCTGCGTGGGCGTGCAGGCATCCACATCTCCATACCACGCCTCGGCGCGGCACCCTTTGTGGGGCATCCCCAAGAAGCAAAGCAGCAAGCAGCTAGCGATGCACGCGAAGCAAGTTCGGTAGGAAGAGGTTATGGTTTTCCCCAGAGCCGAGAGCAGACAGGCACAAAGCCCAACACCAGCACCTTTTGCGCTTGTCTGCTTTCATTCAAATGGGGCTTTTAAGGAGAAGAGTCAAAAAGTTAAATGTTATTTTCACTTGCAGGTTAATGCACTCTGGAAAACACTTGAGAGCATCTTTTTCTTTTCTTTGTTTCTAGCTGCGGACACGTCATTTCTTCTTGCTGGAATGTGCCAGGGAACTACACGGGAGCACGTGCAAGGGAGGTTTCCTTGCAAAAATAACCCTATTGCAAACACTTGGTGATGACAAACTGCTCTCAGCCATGGACATTCCTACAGAGTCCTTCCCAGTCCCAGGGGTGCTGCTACCTCTGCTCAGCTTTGCCAACATCTGGGTTTCCTCCTCAAAACCAGCTTCTTGAGGCTCTCTGTTTGGCTCTGGCTCTGCTGGGCGGTTGGACGCAGCCTTTCTCCACTCATCCTGCTCAACGAGCATCTTCACCACGGGGGCCGTGTAAGTGGTGTAGGCAGGCTGCGGGCGGTGGCACTGGATGAGGTGGCCAGGCAGACCCAGGGTGGCCGAGGGCAGGGCGTACTCTGGAACCCAAAAAACAGACACCGTGAGAGCACAGCCAGATACCTCCTGGCTTCTTCCCTCTCTGGGAAGGGTTAGAGAGAAGGATGCCTGTGGTGACACCTAGGATGGTCTTTGGAGCCGAAGACCACGGCTGGGATCAGTGACGGCTTTGCTATGGCCATGGAGGGCCAGACAGCACCAAGGGACAGCAGTGCCGTACCAGGTAGCCACTCTGCATCAAGATTCAAATAACCCATGCAAGAAATACAGGTGATGTCCATCATTTCTAGGCTTTGTACCTTTATTTCTATACTTGAGCACAGAACGTGATTGCACTGAGCAAGGAGGAGCTGTGCAAGGTCAGTATTACACAGAGAAACACAATGGGAAATTAAAAAAAGGAAAAAAAAATCATCAGTTCTCATTTCTGCAGCACTGACCCACAGCCAAGGTAGCACACAGCAGGGCAAGACCACACTGAAGGTCTTTCCAGTCTCAGCTTTCTGCCCAAAGCTCATTAATCACTCAAGTCTTGCACTTCAAAAACAAAGCCACAAGGTTGATAGAAATGGCTGGAGGAATTAGACTGAACCTACTTGGGAAGATGGCTGTCCAAGGGAAACTTCAAAGCAGAAAATCCAAGGAAAACAAAAATCAATGCATTCAACATAGATCTTGGAAGAATCAGATCATCAGTATTAGTATTTTTAGATTCCAGGCTTTTCTTAAAACCAGCTTGTTTTCACTTAGCTGTCATTAGTCCTTTAAGAGTTACATAGCACAAAAGCAGACTTTTCTGTCTCAGATATTTTACTTTTCACTAACTTTGCCTAGTACAGTGAATATTGACTAGCTAGTCAAAGTAGTGAAATGCAATTTTGCTTAGCACGAACAGCTAAAACAGTAGGAAAGTCCTGCTGATAGAGGCTCCCCAAAGGTCCAGCACTGTCAGAGGGACAAAACTTCCCTCTACAGCGTATTTAAAACTGGTCTGTAGCAAGCTCCAAATAGCAGCCTGCAGGCAAGAAGGGAAGGAAGAAGAGAGATGGAGCAACCATCCTGCATCCAGGCTTTTAAGATATACATACTTGGAGTTTGGGAGTCCCCACACGTAGTGGACTCCACAGTCCCAAGGAGAGGCAGTGGGGTGACTCAGTTGCCCCCAAAACAGGCAAGGACAAGAAGGGGCTGCTGTGGAGGGTGGCAGAGGCAGAACATGGTCCTATTAAAGAGCAATGGCCATTTGGTTTACAGCTGTGGAAAGCTCGAGCCACGAAATGACCTTAACTCTTGTTCCTTAGGTGCTTTACGAACCATTTCACACATGAAGAAGCGGAGGCCAATAAACACTGGTCACCTCCGTAGCCCTGTTCACAGGTGTCCCTGGAGGGCACAGCAGCCCCCGGTTGCCCCCCCAGGCTCGGCTGAGCCAGGAGCCCAGAGGCAAGCTGCTTCAGGTGGGATTTGCAAGCCTGCCCACATCACAGACCCCTCCCTGTTCTTCAGTCAGGTGCAGGTGGAAAGCCTGGTCCTTACCTCTCATTGTGCTCTATTTTCTTTTTTTTTTTTCAATATGGGAATAATTCTGCCTCTTTTCTCCTCCTCTCCTACAGAGGGTCAGTTCTTTGTGACCAAGCTATGATGCGTATCAGGGAAACACCCAGAACACAAACACGCTGGGGCTGCTTAGGGCTCCAACGTTCGGCTGCCATACCCGGGGTCCTCATCGGGAAATCACACAAACTTGGGGTGTTCAGAGATGGGGACGTGCAGGGACAGAGACACAAGTACTTCCCCCAAGTCCCACCACAGGCTCCCGGTGGAAATTAAAACCCAAACACTTGGAGCTCTGGGTTTTAAATGCCCTCATTTCTCTAAAGAAACATGCTGCTTCAGATTCTCTTCTGCTAAAGTTGTAGGGCCAGAAGGAAGGAAGAAAAGTCTA